TTAGGGTTACTCTTCAGAGGGGGGAATGTTAGAGTAGCCAAAAGCCCCATTAAAAAAAAAACAAAACATAAATCGAAGAAGAGCGAGCACATGAAGGTATCAGAAAAGAGTGATGGGGAAATATGGGAGGAGTTGGAGGGGAGGGAGTAGGTATGGATTTGAAAAAAACACCTTTAATGAAGTTATAAAATACCCAATAAATTTTTTAAAAAAAAAAAAAAAAAAAAAAAAAAAAAAAAAAAAAAAAACAGTAATGCATGAGCCACTTCTGTCAGCAGTAAGAGCTGGAAGGACCAGCACCTGTGCCAGGAGGATGCAATCTGAGGCCAAAGATGGGCTTACTGAGAAAGTGACACTAAAATTAAAAGCATCCTGTCTGACTGATTTTCTTCTTTTTCAAATATTACCTTCACATCTTTACTGGGGGTTAGGGGAGGCCTCATACCACACTGTATGTGTGGAGGTCAGAAGACAACTTGCAGGAGTCAGCTCCTCTCCTTCCACCATGTGAGTCCTGATATTGAAATGAGGTCATCAGGCAAGGGCTTTTCCTTGCTGAGCCATCTTGCCAGCTATAGCTTTCTGAGACAAGATTTTGCGATGTAGTCCAGGCTGGCCTGGAACCATTCTCCTCCCCAACTTCCCACATGCTGGGAGTATAGGCATGTACCAGCATGGCTAGTTTGAACACCTTAATCACTGGGCAACAAAGCCAGGTGGGTCTCTAAGGAATGAACATTCTAGGCAAAGACCCAAAAATGTAAAGATCCCACATTAGGACCATAACTGGACTAGAAGGAAACAGTGTGCCTGGAGCAGGGGGGACCAAGGAAAGAGGCAGGGGAGCAGACATCACAGTTGAGGACCTGTTCCACAGTGATATTGTATGATGGGAGCTGTGACTGGTCGTCTGAAGGAGGTAGGGACCCTGGAGGATGCTGAACAGAAAAATGATGCAACTTGCCTGATGGAAGGTTATGTGTTTTGTTTCATTTGACTTGTCTATTTAATAAATCAACAAATATTTGTTGGCCCAACCCACCAAAGCATGGCTAGTAACAGCTTCCTGTTTGTGATTGTGAACAATGACGATTATGCAAGAAACACAATCAGGGACTTCATAGCACAGGGGGCTCTGTCAAGGACTAACCACTCAGGACCAAGGCTTCTTCTTGGCTCGGCAAGACCCAGAGCATGCAGTGGTAAAGAAACAACTGCTGTCCTATGACATTGGACTCAAGCATTTGTGGGGCTCCTGGGATGTTCTTCCCAAAACAGACTAATGCACAGCCAGGGTAGGCCTGGGCTGAGATGTGACAAAGTAGGAAACTTGATTTTAATTATAGACTATTTTTTTATTACGGGGGGCACGATACATGCCACAGCTTATGTGTGGAGGTCAGAGGACAACTCTGGAGTCCGTTCTCTCCTGCAGAATTCTACATGGTTTCTAGCGACTGAACTCAGTAGGGTTCCAGGCTTGCATAGCAAGCACTTATACCTGCTGAGTCAACTCTTTGGCCCCCAAAAGTTGACTGTGAAGGCTGGGGAGATGACTCAGTTGGTAAGGTGTTGGCTACACCAAGCACAAGGACCTGAGTTCAGATCAGCGCGTACATAAAAGCCGAGCATAGTGGTATGCACCTGTAATGACAGTGCTAAGGAGACGGAGACAGGAGGGTCCCTAGGGCTTGCTGGCCAGTCAGTGTAGCCAAATCAGCAAGCTCTGGGTCAGTAAGAGACTCTGTCTCAAAAAATAAGGTGGAAAGCAATTAATGAAAACTCCTAACATCAACTTCGGAACTCCAAACATAAGAACAAGCATGTGAACACAGATAAGCACACCCACACATGAACACACAGACGCATACACACGCAAATAAAAACACTCATTTTGGATGTTTTCACTTGTAGGACACTTGGTAGACATGTAAACAGAGAAGTCAAATAGGTCATTAGTCTGAAGTTCAAGGAGCAGGTCTGGGCTGGAGATGTAAACATAGGATCATCAAACTAGAAGGAATAATTAAAGCCAGGAAACCAAATAGAATCAGTAAGAGAATAAATACAGATGAAGAGACTTTAAATACTGGACTCTGGCACCCTGCCATGTGCAAGTTAGGGAAGTGAAAAAGAACAGAGACTGTGTTCTGGAAGCCAAAATAAAAGGTGTTTTAAGGAGGAGAGACTAAAAGCCATGCCAAACAGGATGAGAGGTCAGAGACACTGACTCAGCAAAGCACGAGGTCTCTCCCACCTGTAGTTGATTCAGCGAGGGGTGAGCACAGGAGACCAGTGTCTCGTTCCAGAAGTCTGGCCGTGAAGTACAGAGACAGTGGAAGCTGGCGGGGAAAACGGAATCCAGGGAGCTCCTTGGAATCCAGACATGTACAATACAACTGTTTGCATTATCACAAAAGTTCCCCCGAGATGAAAACCTGGTGAGACAGGAGGGAAGGAACTGCTGGAAGAAGGCTTTGCAAAGTGAGAGGAGAGGGTGGCCGGGTGCGGGTGTGGGCAGACAGATGCCATAACAGGGCTTAGGTAGTTTCCTTCTGCCACATCTGCCACCTCAACATGAGACAGTGTTCGCAGAGTGAGGTGCTACATGCTGGCTAGCAGAGTAGAAAAGTGACTTGAGAAGCCTGGTATGCCTGCTGGGCAGTACTGTGGTCTGCTTGAACTTGTGATCCTGAATAGAAATGATAGATAGGACACAGGGTTCCGAGTTGTTCTGCAGTCTTGTTCCAATGTAGGAGATGGTGCAGGCAGGAAGCAAAGCTAACCAGAACTGTGATGTAACCAAGCTAGAAGGACAAAGTGAGAGAGGCCCTGCCCATGAGAGATTCTAGAACTGCAGGTGTGCCCGGATCATAGCAAGGAAACAGCGTTATGTGAGCATTTTCCCAGGGAACAGACAAAAATCACCCCTGGAATGCCAAGCTCTTTAGTTCTTCTAGAAAATCATCATAGCCGGGTGTGGTGGCGCACGCCTTTAATCCCTGCACTCGGGAGGCAGAGTCAGGCAGATCTCTGTGAGTTCAAGAACAGCCTGGTCTACATAGTGAGTTCCAGGAGAGCTGGGGCTACAGGGAGACTCTGTCCAAAAAAAACCAAAAAAAAAAAAAAAGAAAGAAAAGGAAAACAGAAAAGAAAATCATCAAAGCTGCTGAAAACACACACTTCAGTCAGAAGCATTCTTTTTTTTTTTTTGGTCTTTTTGAGACAGAGTCTCCCTGTAGTCCCAGGTGGCCTATAATTCACTTTGTAGACCAGGCTGGCCTTGAACTCACAGAGATCCACCTACCTCTGCCTCCCAAGAGCTGAGATTAAAGGCATGCGCCACCACTCCCAGCTCAGTCAAAGGCATTCTTTACTACCAACTGACAATTCGGTCTGAGCTCCTGTTATTGTTAACAGAATTGTGGACAGGCATTTATCCATACAGAGAGGAACCCACACTGAGATTTAATGACTTAAGAGAAACTCAAATGCTTTCAACTCACAAGTTATCTAGATCAAGGAGAGAGATTATTTGCAAGGCTAAGGCAGAGTACATGAAACTGGAATTAACAGTCACGTATCAAATTATTACATACAATCTACCAGGTTTCTTAGTACATTTTTTCAAAACCCAACAATTATTTAAGAAATCATGAAACTATTTTGTTTGATAGAAAGATCATGTAGCAAAGAACATTTTCAGATACATGGTATGAATCAATTTCTTAACAAAGACAGTTCTGAATAGCAACTGTTGAGTTCATCTATTTTAAAGGAATACAATTTTACCATCACTAAATGTCAGTGAGACATCTACAAAATATTCTATCAGGACTGGAGCGATGGCTCAGCAGTTAAAAGTACTGGCAGCACTTGCAGAGAACCCAGGTTTGATTCCCAGCACCCATATGGCAGCCAACAACCTTCTGGAACTCCAGTTCCAGGGAATCTGCCACCCTCTTCTGGCTTCCAAGGGCACTGCAAGACATGGGTGCACTTGCAGGCAATACACTCATATACACACACAAAAATTAAAAGCTAGGCATGGAGGCGCATGCCTTTAATCCCAGCACTCAGGAGGCAGAGGCAGGTGGATCTCTGTGAGTTCGAGGCCAGACTGGTCTCCATAGTGAATCCAGGACAGCTGGGGCTACAGGGAGACTCTCAAAAAGACGAAAAAAAAAAAAAATTAAAATTAATAAATCCAAAATATCCTATCCAGTAGAGGTCTACTTTCTGCAGTGCTGGCGACTGATCCCAGGGTCTGAGGAGTGTTCTACCACGAGCAGCATTCCTGGTACCCAGTGTAATTTAGAGAAGTCCTGTGCCAGTGAGGTCTGAATCAAGAAATCTGTAACAGAGGTTGTCATTTGCCCATTACTCCAATCTTGCATTTGCAGGTTATTTTGTCTTTTATTCTTTTGTGCTCATGTGTGTGTACAAGTATCCGCAGACCAGAAGGTGACACTGGGTGTCTTCCTCTGTCACTCCCTGAGATAAGGTGTCCCACTGAACCTGGAGCTCAACAATTGGCTAGACCAGGTCCTAGGACACATCTGTCTGTTTCCTCAACAGTGGGATTACGGGCAGGAGCTACTGCACCCAGCTTTTACACAGGTGCTGGGGACTGGAATCCAGGTCCTCATGCCCATGCAGGAATCACTTTGCCCACTGAGCTCTGTCCCCAGCCCCCAGATTATTTCAAAGGATGGCAGAGTACTCTGTGATACAGTCATGCTTATAGAAAGAATGGGGTAGGAGGAAGCAGCCAAACTCATAACATCAGCAAAATCTAATTCAGTCTTAGTCACTTCCCATCAAAGGTAAGACCTGAGCCTGTCTGCAGAAAAAAGAAAAAGAAGACAGAAGGTTTGGAAAAGTCTTCGCTGGTCTCTGTCAAAATGAACAAACTGCACTGCCCCTATACTATGCGTGGCGACACCAGGGTCAGTAGAGATGTGAAGTACAAGCACTTCCAGCTGGAGGCGGAGGCTTACCTGCTGCACCTATTGGGGAGGTAGCTGGGGTCATGTTGTGGACATTGAGACCAAGACTCTGGGAGGGGCCCGCGGCTGACGCTGCAATGGGAGGTCCCGGAGGGTTCTCCCTCTGGGGTGACGTAAGCGGGGTAGTCGGCTGGGAGGTCTGTCCACCAGCAAGTCGTGCCAGGCGCCTCCGTCGAATCTACAAAAAGAGGAGAGAACAGGCATTCTGTAACTGAAAGCAGAAGCACAACCTCCTGTGAGAATTAGGGCATTCGTGGATCCCATCAGTAACCATTCATTCCCAAGCCTAGCAGCCAAGCTGTCTGAAAAAGAAAGTATTGAAAAAGGTAACTTGGTAAAACTAGCACTGTTTTTCCTTAATCTGTGTATGTGTGTGGGTGGGTGGTGCATGCAATATGGAAGTCAGACAACTCAAGTGTTCATCCTTGCCTTCCATCTTGTAGACAGGTCTCTTGCTTGTCATTGTGTACATCAGGCCAGCTTAGCTGGCCAAGTTTTCAGGGATTCCCCTCTCTCTGCCTTCCATCTCCCCATAGGAGCTGAGGATCACAGGCACCTGCTACTGTGCCTGGCTTTCTGTGGGCTCTGAGGACCCAAACTCAGGTTCCCATGCTTACAAAGCTAGTGCTTTACTCATGAGTCTAGTATTCTTACAAGCTACTGCTCCATTTCAAAAATCTGTACTTTGATGGCCTTACTAACTGTATTCTATCTCGACTATTAACTAAATTTCTGATATGCACACTACCCTTTTAAATACACTACAGCCTGTTATTTTAAGATTTTTTGTTTTGTTTTGTTTTGTCTTGTTTTTTTAATGCCGGGCGTGGTGGTGCACGCCTTTAATCCCAGCGCTTGGGAGGCAGAGGCAGGCAGATCTCTGTGAGTTCGAGGCCAGCCTGGTCTACATAGTGAGTTTCGGGACAGCTGGGGCTACAAACAGAAGCACAAAGAAAGTTGGGTACACTGTGGCAAAGATGATCTGCACCTGGGTCTGGTTTGGGTCTGTGATTCCATCACTATACCAAGAGTCTGTGGATCCCTAGACATCCTTCTTAAAGATTTGTGAGGCCAAAACTATTTGTATAAAAATACCAAGACAATCTGCTTTTTCCACTCTCATTCTCTAACATGTAGACTTTCCAGATGTGATTCACAACACATCAATACAGGCATGTTTTCTGTTTGTGTTACCAGTGATGGAACCCAGGACCTTGTACATGATAGGCAAGTGCTCCAACAATGGGTTACCTCCTGGTGGGTTTTAAAGTCAGTTGTTCATCTTTTTTATTTGAGCCCAGATTTTGCTATGTGGTCCAGGCTGGCTTTGAACTCTCCACCCTCCTGCTTCAGCCTCCCCAGTGCAGGGATTACAATATACATATGCCACGATGCCCAGTCCTCAGTACAAAGGTTGACAGGAGAACCCAGCTGCCTGCTATTAACACAGACATTTAAAAGATTTGCAAGACCTGGGTTTGATTTCCATCACCCACATGATGGCTAACAACTTTCCATGACTACAGTTCTATGGGATCTGACACCCTCTTCTGGCCTCTATGGGCACTGCAGAACATGGGTGTACTTACATAATGGAGGCAATATACTCATACATACAAAATCAAATGAATAAAATTTTTAAAAGATTTACAATTGGGGCTGGAGAGATGGCTCAGTGGTTAAGAACACTGGTTGTTCTTGCAGAAGACCCGGGTTCAAATCCCAGCACCCACATGACAGCTAACAACTGTCTGCAACTCCAGTTCCAGGGGATCAGACAGCCTCTTCTGTCCTCTGCAGGCATTGCATGACACGGGTGCACTTACCTACATGCAGGCACTACACACATACACATAAAATAAAAATAACAAATTTTTAAAAATTTAGAAAATGGCAACCAGAGAGAGAGAGAGAGAGGAAGAAGAAGAGGAAGAAAAAGGGGGGAAAGGCGGGGGGAGGAGGAAAGGCTTTGTCAGCACCCGGTGGCTTCCAAACTAGAACCATGCTGTGACACCCTCTCACCATTTTCATTTCCTCTTCATTTTCCGTACACTCAACTTTGCTCAAAGAATGATTTTGACATTTCCTTTCTATTCTTAGCAGAAAGCAGGAACTCATATATGTAGATTAAACAAAGTTAAAAGAATTAGCTCATTTTTTCCAAATTCTTAGAAAAACCAAGAGCAGCTGGGTGTGGTAGTGCATGCCTTTAGCCCCAGCACTTGGGAGGCAGAGGCAGGCGGATCTCTGTGAGTTTGGGGCCAGCCTGGTCTACACAGTGAGTTCCAGGCCAGCTGGGGCTACAGGTACAATTGTGAAAGCAGTACCACTCCTGTCATTAAATTTGTCTGTTGTGGGTTGGTGAAATGACTCAGCAGGTAAAAGTGTTTGCCACCAAACCTGACCAGCTTAGTTTGGTTCCCAGAACCCACATGACAGAAGAGAACCAACTCCTACAAGTTGTCCCCTGACTTCCATGTGCACAGCATGTGCTGACCAATACACACAATAAATGTGATTTTAAAATATGTATGTAAAGTAAAACATCAGAGTGACATAAGAAGTTGGCACAGTTTCCATTAAATGCAATGGATTTTCATGCATGGTGTGTGTGTTCTAGAACTTTATTGAAGTTGAACTTGACAGTATGAAGGTCATTTGTTATGGTTCTATTTCATTTAGTATATATACTGCTGTATATTTTGACCACAACTTTAATATTTATTTTTATCTGTGTTTGTGTGTGTGTATGTGCACACGTGTGTGCGCTCGAGTGCATGCAGGTGCCTGTGGAGGCCAAAAGAGGGTGTCAGATCCCTTGAAGATGGGAGTTTCAGGTGGTTGCGAGTCTTCAGATGTGGGTGCTGGGAACCGAACTCAGGTTCTCTGGAAGAGCAGCAAACAGCCATCTCTCCAACCCCTGCTTCTAACTTTTCTCCAGCCTCAGTCTTTTGCAAAGTACTTATTTTACTGCACATCACAGAACTTCGTGTGTGTGCGCAGGCGTGCACATACACATGTCATGGTAAATACACTGAGGTCAGAAAACAACTTTCAGAGTCGATGTTCCCCTTCAGCCTTGTTTTGAGGCAAAGGTTTCTCATGCTGTTTCTGCTCTACTGGGTATTCCTAGTTGGCTGGCCTGCAACCTTCTGGGAGAATCGCCTGTCTCCACATCCCACTTCACTGTAGGAGTGCTGGGGTTACAGGTGCACCATACAGGATCTGGCTTTCAATACTATTATTTGTTCTCTGTTTTTGAAACAGGGTATCACTATGTAGTCCTGGCTTGCCTAGAATTCAGAGATCCACCTGCCTCTGCCTCCCAAATGCTGGAATTAAAGGCATGTGGCACCACATCTTATCTTTGCTTTTTAATGTGGGTTCCAGGGATCAAACTCAGAAAGTCAGGCTTGTACAGCAAGTGTGTTTACCTGCTGAGCCATCTTGCTAGAGAATTTTGTATCTGTGTTTGTGTTCAAGACCTTAAGCTTTCAATCTCATCTCTGAGAGACTACTGAATACAGCTTGTCAAGAGCTCAATTCTAGGAGTTGGGAAAGATAGTTCAGTTGCGTAGGTGCTTGACCAAGCATGGGGACCTGAGTTCAAACTCCTATACCAACATAAAAAGCTGCACACCTGTAATTCCAGCACTGAGAGGTAGAGGTAGAAGGATTCCAGGGTCTGGCTGGCCAGTTAGTCTAGCGAACTGGTGAGCTCTAGGTGAGAGAGGATGTCTCAAAAAATAAGATGGAGAATGACAAAGGAAGATCCCAACATCTACCTCTAGTCTCCTCCTGGGCACGCACACCTGCACATGTACACACATACACACACACACACACACACACAGCGCCTCTCTCTCTCTCTCTCTCTCTCTCCCTCTCTCCCTCTTCCCCCTCCTGGGCACGCACACCTGCACATGTACACACATACACACACACACACACACAGCGCCTCTCTCTCTCTTTCTCTCTCCCTCTCTCCCTCTTCCCCCTCCTGGGCATGCACAATTGCACATGTACACACACACACACACACACACACACACACACACACAGCCTCTCTCTCTCACCTCATGGGCATGCATACCTGCATATGTACATACATACACACAAACATACAGCCTCTCTCTCTCTCTCTCCCCCTGGGCATGCACACCTGCACATGTACACACACACACACACAAACACACAGCCTCTCTCTCTCTCTCTCCCCATGGGCATGCACACCTGCACATGTACACACACACACACACAAACACACAGCCTCTCTCTCTCTCTCTCCCCTCATGGGCATGCACACCTGCACATGTACACACACACACACACAAACACACAGCCTCTCTCTCTCTCTCTCCCCTCATGGGCATGCACACCTGCACATGTACACACACACACACACAAACACACAGCCTCTCTCTCTCTCTCTCCCCTCATGGGCATGCACACCTGCACATGTACATAGATACACACAAACACACAGCCTCTCTCTCTCTCTCTCTCCCCCCCTGGGCATGCACACCTGCACATGTACATACACACAAACACACAGCCTTCCTCTCTTCCTTCCTCTCTCTCTCTCTCTCTCTCTCTCTCTCTCTCTCTCTCTCTCTCTCTCTCCCTCCTCCTGGGCATGCACACCTGCACATGTACATACATACAAACGCACACACACACACACACACACACACAACCTCTCTCTCCCCTCATGGGCACACTTGCACATGTACATACATACACACAAACACACAGCCTCTCTCTCTCTCTCTCTCTCTCTCTCTCTCTCTCTCTCTCTCTCTCTCTCTCTCTCTCTCTCTCTCTCTCTCTCTCTCTCTCTCCCCCTCATGGGCATGCACACCTGCACATGTACATACATACACACAAACACACAGCCTCTCTCTCTCTCTCTCTCCCCTCATGGGCATACACACCTGCACATGTACATACATACACACAAACACACAGCCTCTCTCTTTCTCTCTCCCCCCACCATCCGCATGCACACCTGCACATGTACATACATACACACAAACACACAGCCTCTCTCTCCCTCTCTCTCTCTCCCCTCATGGGCATGCACACCTGCACATGTACACACACACACACACAAACACACAGCCTCTCTCTCTCTCTCTCCCCTCATGGGCATGCACACCTGCACATGTACATAGATAC